GGGGGGGCAGAGGCTGTGAGGTGGGAGTGAGGGACACCAGCGGGGCTGGGGGGCAGGGGCTCTGAGGCAGGAGTGAGGGGCACTGGCAAAGCCCCCTTGGCCATCAGTGGGCAGCTGGTGTCTTCTGGTGTCCGGGGGTTCCCGTAGCTGGGTCTCACCGACAGCTGATGGCTCAGTTCATTTCTGAGTAACTTCTGGAAAGCCGCCTGGTCCAGCGCCTGCTGCCCGGGCGGGCCCTTGGCGTATCTGTAGAAGCTGTCCACAATGGCGTGCAGGCCCCTCTCCAGCTCCGAGTCCGTTCCAGACATCTCGGCCGGCTCCTTCCACCTGCGAGGCGAGGACAGAGGCTGCCTTAGGGTCCCACCCATCCAGAGACCTAAACTAGGGCCCCCAGTCCTGGCCTTGCGGGGGAACGGCTGCTTGTGCAACAGCACCTCTTTCTGGAGAGAACCAGACCTGCTCAAGTGCACAGAAAGAGATAGATAGAGGGGGAGGATGGGGATAGACAGATAGAACTGGAAGGGACCTCAAGAGGTTATCAAACTCAGTCCCCGGCCCTCAAGCACTGTCTAGAGCATCCCTGATAGACATTTCTCTAACCTACTCTTCAATATCTCCAGAGATGGGGATTCCACAACCACCCTGGGCAATTTATTCCAGTGTTTGACCACCCTGACAGGTAGGAACTTTTTCCTAAAGTCCAACCTAAACCTCTCTTGCTGCAGTTTAAGCCCATTGCTTCTTGTCCTGTCCTCAGAGGCCAAGGAGAACAATTTATCTCCCTCCTCCTTCTGACACCTTTTTAGGTACCTGAAAGCTGCTCTCAGTCTGAATGTCCCCTCTCAGTCTTCTCTTTTCCAAACGAAACAAGCCCAATTCTTGCAGTCGTCTCTCCTAGCTCATGTTCTTTCCCCATAAAGAGCACGCTGACAGAGTGTGCAGCCAGTACCAAGCTGGGAGGGGTGGCTGGGGCGGTGGAGGACTGGATTCTATTTCTCACTCATCCGGACCAACGGGTCCGAGGTCAATCGCATGGAGCTCAACAAGGACAAAGGCCCGGTGCTCCATTTGGGGAGGGACAATCCCTTTCGCACACCCAGACCGGGCTGTGGCTGTGTAGGAAGGAGCCCCGTGGAAGGGGAGCCTCGGGGCCACACTGGATCCCAAAGGAAAGGCCACCCGGTTGTGTTCACCGTGTGACACTGTTGCAGAAAAGCAGCAACCGTTCTGGCTGCACTATCAGGCGTGCAGGGAGCAAGACAGGAGACGACGATTGTTCCACCCGGATAGGGCCTCGCCGGGGGTCCAGTTCATCCAGGACAGAGTGGGGCAAACTGGACAAAGTCCAGTAACCCTCCCTCCCCCCCTCCTGCTCTCCCACCAGGGAGCCAGGAAGAGAAACTAGCAGCAGAAAAGCAGCAACCGTTCTGGCTGCACTATCAGGCGTGCAGGGAGCAAGACAGGAGACGACGATTGTTCCACCCGGATAGGGCCTCGCCGGGGGTCCAGTTCATCCAGGACAGAGTGGGGCAAACTGGACAAAGTCCAGTAACCCTCCCTCCCCCCCTCCTGCTCTCCCACCAGGGAGCCAGGAAGAGAAACTAGCA